TACGGCGAAGGCATCGCTGATGATATTTCTCCAGGTTTTTGAGGTGGCGACTGTAGGTGGTCCAAGCCTCTGAGCCATAAAGCAGGATTGGTAGAATCATGCCTTTGTAGACCTTGATCTTTGTGTTGATATTGAGGTCTTTGTTATCAAATACTCGAGTTCTCAGGCGCCCAAATGCACCACTAGCTGAACTAAGACGAACTTGAATTTCTGCATCCAGATCAGCCTTACTTGACAAGCAACTGCCAAGATATGTGAAATTATCAACAGTGCTGAGGTACTGCCCACCAACTGTAATCTGTGGTTGTTGTCGTCCGTGTATGCTATCAGGTGATGGCTGAAATAGAACCTTTGTCTTTTGAGCATTGAGTTTGAGGCCCAGCGCATTATAGGCGTGGCTGAATGCATTCATTGCTGCCTGAAGATCTTCCTCTGTGAGTTGCTATGGCATTATCATCAGCATATTGGAGCTCGAGTATTGTCATGTGTGTAGTCAACGTTCTAGCCTTCAGACGTCGGAGGTTGAAGAGCTTACCATCCATCCGGTATTGCATATCGATGCCTCGTGGGAGCTTCTCCATCACCAAGTGTAGTACAGCGGAGATGAATATTGAAAAGAGAGTTGGTGCAATTACACATCCCTGCTTAACTCCGGTCTTTACTACGAACCTCTCGGTAGCCTCGCCATCAATCAGGACTGATGCAGACATGTTGTCATGCAGCAGCTGGACTATTTTGATGTATTTCTCAGGACATCCAATTCTAGAAAGCACTTTCCATAAAGTAGGGCGGTCCACAGAATCAAACGCTTTAGTTAGATCGATAAAGGCCAAGTAGAGATCTTTATGCTGTTCTTTGCATTTTTCCTGTATCTGTCTTGCCGAGAATATCATGTCAACAGTCCCACGTGCTGGTCTGAAGCCACATTGCGTCTCCGGGAGGATCTCTTCAGCAATAGGTGTGAGGCGACATGCAAGAATGCGGGCGAGTATCTTCCCAGCTATGGAGAGAAGAGAGATGCCTCGATAGTTCCCACAGATTGTCTTCTCTCCTTTCTTGAACACGGTAACAATCAAGGCGTCCCGAAGATCACTCGGAATAACTTCCTCTTCCCAGATACGTGTAAAGAGGGTRTGTAATTYTTCAGCCAGATCCGGGCCTGCAGCCTTATATACTTCTGCCGGGATCCCATCTGGGCCAACAGCTTTGCCATTCTTCATAGCAGTGATAGCTGTGGAGACCTCCTCCGTTGTTGGTGGCTCGACTAGATGATCTCTTATTGGATGCTGAGGTAGTTTATCTACTTCCGTGTTGTTTACAGAGGGGTTCTGATTGAGCAGCTCAGAAAAGTGTTCTTTCCATCGCTTGCGGATACTAGCTATGTCYTTGAGAAGGTTACCATTCTTGTCAGCAACAGGTCTAGCTCCCTGAGATGTTGGTCCATAGATCTTTTTAGTAGCAGTGAAGAATGCTCTGCTGTTATTAGTGTCAGATAACACCTGCATCTCCATTGCCTTCTGCTTYCACCAGTTGTTTTTCATCTCACGAACTCTTTGCTGCACCTTTGATCTTATTTCATGGTATTGCCGTTTTTTCCCTTCATTCCTGATATCGTTCTGCCAAACAGAGAATCTTCTACGTTTTTCAGCAATTAAAGAGAGAGGAAGTAAGAGAAAGGGAAAGAGCGAGGAAAAGAGAGAGAAGAGTTAAAGGATGATAAAAGTGAGAGATTGTTGAGAGATTGCTGATGCAAGGGGAGTAGGGTTGGGTGGATTGCTGATACAAGGGGAGTAGGGTAGGGTGGATTGCTGATACAAGGGGAGTAGGGTAGGGTGGATTGCTGATACAAGGGGAGTAGGGTAGGGTGGATTGCTGATACAAGAGGAGTAGGGTAGGGTGGATTGCTGATACAAGGGGAGTAGGGTAGGGTGAATTGCTGATACAAGGGGAGTAGGGTAAGGTGGATTGCTGATACAAGGGAAGTAGGGTAAGGTGGATTGCCAGTAGAAGGGGAGTAGGGTTGGATGGATTGCTGATACAAGGGGAGTAAGGTTGGGTGGATTGCCGGTACAAGGGGAGTATGGTAGGGTGGATTGCTGGTACAAGGGGAGCAGGGTAGGGTGGATTGCTGATACAAGGGGAGTAGGGTAGTGTGGATTGTTGATACAAGGGCAGTAGGGTTGAGTGGATTGCTGGAACAAAGAGAGTAGGGTAGGGTGGATTGCTGGTACAAGGGGAGTGGGGTAGGGTGGATTGCTGATACAAGGGGAGTAGGGTAGGGTGGATTGTTGGTACAAGGGGAGTAGGTTTGGGTGGATTGCTGATACAAGAGGAGTAGGGTTGGGTGGATTGCTGGTACAAGGGGAGTAGGGTAGGGTGGATTGCTGGTACAAGGGAAGTAGGNTTGGGTGGATTGCTGATACAAGAGGAGTAGGGTTGGGTGGATTGCTGGTACAAGGGGAGTAGGGTAGGGTGGATTGCTGGTACAAGGGAAGTAGGGTTGGGTGGATTGCTGGTACAAGGGGAATAGGGTTGGGTGGATGGCTGATACAAGAGGAGTAGGGTAGGGTGGATTGCTGGAACAAAGAGAGTAGGGTAGGGTGGATTGTTGATACAAGGGGAGTAGGGT